TATACTTGAATATGCTAAACGCGTAAAATAATTATATCGTTAGAATTCCATGAGTCGGTTAACACAGCATGACAGCATTTTATTTGAGAGTTGCTTTACAATAAATAATGCACAATATTGTGTTCAGGCTGGATGATCGGTAGTACCGCGCTAGTCTTGTCAGTAGTCTTACGAGACTGTGTATTCAGTCTGACGAGATTGTATTGCAGACAGAAGTTAACCAATGACAGATCTGTTTGCGTAGATAAGTGATACTTCGTTTACTGTACTTGTTTAGTGAGGCATCGTTGTTTCTCCGTAATGTCTTCCGTAAGACGACGTGCATTTTGGTTACAGCATGTTATGCAATCTTAAAATTCTTTTGGCTTTCCTCGATGAAAACTTTGGATTTTTGCTATGACTCTCTTTTGCCTAATTGCTGGGAACCGATTTCTTTCCGTCAGCGTTCATCTGCGTGACGGAACTTGTTTACTGTTCTTGAATATGTACACAATATATAATTGAATCATAATTAATAAGGTTAATGCGTCACGTGACCTAAAATAATGTTACCGTTGTTATTACCGTAATGAGCGTGAGCTGGTCGTAGCGCAGAAAATGGTGCAAGATGCACCTGGCACTGCAGGTTCTCAAATACCGTGAGTCCCTGAATGAAAATAGTCCCATAAGGATACGAGCATGGGAGCGGTGCAATACGGTGCGACATCTGGCATTGAATGAGTTCTGCATTAACAGGATTATTACTGTATATTATAGCGGTATAAAATACTACTTTGACAGTGCAAATAGCATGAAATACAATTACCATGCACCGAAATGGAAGAAAAACAGACTCTCTCTGTTAGTACTTCTGAGTCAAAAAAATTGTTGCCATTGAAAATTACAAATACTTGTTCTTACTTGAGTTCAAGCCACACCGTATCCTTACTTATGGAGGCGCAGCGAACCGTTTAAATATTTCAAATCTCCACCATATTGTAACACTGATATTGAGGTATGGATGCGAAACTGCATTGGGGCAAACAACGACCTGTTCGAAGTACCAATAAACATACTTTTACCTCCAAACATGTATGGATACTACCCTGTTCAAATCCAGTTTTACTAGTATCGACTAGTTTCTTCACCCCTGCCTGGCAGAACGACGAAAAGGTGTTACTTTTTCCGGTTTACACCATTCATATTCATGGTGGAAGCAAGAAATTTCCAGATATAAATTATTTCTTCCATAAGCTCAATAAAACACACATGAAATGGAAGCACTGCCTGATAAAAGCTTTCATAGACGAGGTTGCCACAAGCTGTTCGCTCATTAATAAA